AAAAAAAAGGCTCGCCGAAAGGCAGTCATCAGCACAGGGTTACGACGCGGCATCCACCAGTCATCGATGACAAAAGTAGCCGTCCTCCGCACGTCAGCAGCGCCAAGTTGTCAGGGAAGACAGGGTCCCCTCGCCTGCTAGCGCCCCTCGGCAGCCGTCGATATCCCGCGCCACCTGTGATCGCCGTGCAGCAACGTGCAGCGGCGCCGCCTGCCGCTTTTTGTTGTCCCGGCTGTGGTTGTCCGCGGTAAGGTTCTTGTTGCGGCGCGTCGCGGTAGGTGCCTTGCGTTTGCATTTTGATTATTACAGCGCTGACCTTGGGCGCTGTAAATGCCCGGTCTTAAGTACCTTAAATAGGTATCTTAGTAGTACCTGAGGCGACGGCCGCGGCAAGCAAAGTAGCGGCAATATCGTAGATACTCTACCTGCCTAGGCAGTAATTAGTACCCCCAAGTACTGCCCCCGGTAGGCCGAGAGACGCGTAACCAGGTACTACAAGGTGTGCCTTGATACGTCGGTATCTCAGCGTCAGGACCTTACCTGCGTTGTTACAGTACAGGACAGTACAGTACCTCGCCGTCATTCTTGCCGCGCCCGCACCTAGACACCTGTCAGGTTCCGTGCAGTCCGAATGTGCCAAGCACTACAACGGAGAGCTATTGGCTACAAGGCAAGCCATCTTTCTCGGCGAAGCGGTTCGCGCCTGACTCACCTGCGCGCCTCCCACCCGGACGTTGTCGACTGACAATGACGCCTGGCCGCACCTGCCGACGCGACCCTCCCACACGACGCACCTCTGGTATTGTGTACAATTTTTGGTTACAGCAGCACCGCACTGCCTGCACTGCAGCCTGAATTGGCCTGCCTGGCGGTGTGTCCGTGCTCCGGAAGCCTCGGGAGTCCCTCGATCGCCCTTTTCCTCGCTTGGCCTGGGACCCGTGGGATGGCTGGTTGCCCGGCGCCCCCGCCCCGGGCCCGCTGGCCAGCTCCAGCTGCCGCCTCCCGCCTCCCGCCTGCCACCTCCCCCACTTTCACCCACTCACTCCAGCTCCAGCTCCAGCTCCGGCTCCGACCCTTCGCCACGACCAGAAAGTCGAGGTACGCGCCGGCCACCCAGCAGCCCACCCCCGGCGCCGGTCAATAACCACAGTCTGCGCCGATGAGCGCCAGCCGTCCATATTCTGTACATGGCCGCCAGCCAGCTCTCGATGCCCTCATCTTGTGGACATGCTCGTAACTTGCTCCCCATGCCTGGTCCGGCGCCGTCCACCTCAGTCAGTGGCTCCACGTCTGCGGCAGGCTCGGCCCTCCGTGACCGCAGCTGCCCCAGCGCCAGGGGCGAATAAGAAGAGACCGGAGCCATGTCCCTGACCAGACCTAGAATCTTGGATCTTGACGCCCTCCTTCCCTCGCCGTATCTTAACAGCCCTTGTCGTGCCTTGCCTTGCCTTGTTGCCCGCCTGACGACTTATCCGCCCGTTGAGCTCCAGCCTGCTGGCGGCTGGCGTACGCGCGCTTCCCGTCTCAGTTTGCATTGACCATCTACCTAGCCTAGTAATTGCCCACTCACTGTCGACACGTCGGCGTCTTGTGCCCGTACATCCAGCATTCGGCAAGCCGAGGAGGATAGACGCCGTCACGAATCACGGCAGCTGTAAGCCCGCAAGCTCTCGTCGATACAGGTCGCGCATATCCAACGCTGCTACTGGTGCCCGTTGCGACGTCCGCCTGTCGGGGTTGGCGGTGAGGGCGTGGACACTGCCGGTGATATCGGCTTCTCCCCCACTACCTCTTGGGCTTTGCAGTCCGAACGTTTTGCCCCCGCTGCTTCGCCGGGGCAGCTACTTCAGAAGACACGTCGCCGCCGTCAAATCTCAATCCCTTTTCGGCCATCCACGTTGTCGCGCACTGCCCTGTAGGCGCGCTGCCTCGCTTTACCATGAACATCGCTGCGCCGCTGCGGGTGAGCGCCAGCGCTCTGTTGCTCACCGCGGTGTTGGCTAGCAGGGCGCACGCTCATGGCGACGCCGCGGGCGCGACCGTGGACATGGACACGGCCTTGGGCGAGGCCAGCCACGAGCAATCCGCATCTCAATATGCGCCGACGTACTTTGCTCACCCAGGCCACGTCGGAGTCATTTACGCTCACATCGCTCTCATGGTACTTGCGTGGGTCTTTGTGCTTCCCATCGGTATGTACAGCACAGCATAGCACTGCGCCGCACGCAGACGACCCCCGTTTTCGGCTTCGTGTAACTGACGCTCCCGCCAAAAAGCCGTCATGCTCTCTCTCGCCAAGTCGCGGTATACCATCGCCTCTCAGCTCTTGTTCTCCATCACAAACGCAGTCGGCATTGTCTTTTCAGTCATTTACAACGCCAACACGCCAGACCTGTACCCCAACAATGCCCACCACAAAATTGGATGGATCGTCACGTCCGTCGTCTCGGCCCAAGTCTTTCTCGGTCTGGTGGGCCGCCTTGCCGGCGCGGTGACAATTCGCCACTCCTGGAAGTCGCCCGAGTCTTTGGCCTTCATGCGCCTTTCGACCGAGTTGCCTGATGATGAGTATCGCATGTCCAACGACAGCGGGCAGGGCACCGAGCCCAACACCGAATCGCTGCGCAGCAATTCCCTGTCCACTCTCGATGGTGTCGGGGACGACGAGCATGACCTTCCTCTGCACGCTCGGCGCAAGGAATACCAGCACGACAACGAGCTGGCCGACAGCTCTCCGTCTCCTGACGCCACCAGCTGGGCAGCCACCAGGGCCACACGGGTCATGTCGTCCAGTGCGTGGCGCTACTTCGACTTCATTGCGTTGACCACTGGCATCATTACTTTTGGCCGCTTCTTTGTGAGTCGTTGGTGATAAAATCATCGTGACGGCATCGCTAACCGTTGCACCTCAATCAACGACAGGAAGGAGCCGGCGTTTTCAGCGGATTGGCTCACTGGATCAAGGGAGGCGTCTTCTTCTGGCTTGGGCTCTTCACTCTGGGCCGCTGGTCCGGCAGCTTCGGCGAGCTTGGCTGGGCCTGGAATGTGCGACCTCGCGCGCGGCACCACCAGAGGAGCAAGTGGCGCCCGTCTGCTGAGTTCGTCGAGAGCGCTCTAATCCTGTTGTACGGCTCCACAAACATCTTTCTCGAGCACCTCGGTGGCTGGGGCGGCGAGTGGTCGGCTCAGGACTTGGAGCACATGGCCATCACTGTCCTCTTTATCGGTGGCGGACTGGTAAGTCTTGCGGCCGTTCGCATTCGTAAACGCGGCCTATTGTGCTAACATTGCGTGTCGTCCAGTGCGGGATTCTCGTTGAATCGACGCGCATCCGCGATCTCTTGAACACAACCGTGACCGACGCTGCGCCGGCAGACACGTTTCCCGACGAGGAGCGCGAGCTGCGAAGCCCACCGACCGCGTATGAGTTCTCGCTGAACCCGATCCCTGCACTCGTCATCTTGCTTCTGGGCATCATGATGAGCTCCACCACCAGTCCACCATGATTTCCACCATGGTCCACAGGCAATGGGGCAATCTCCTCCTCGGCGCTTCCTTTGCCCGCGCTCTGACGTACGTTCTCGTCTACCTGCGCCCGCCCAAGTCGGTGTTGCCTTCCCGGCCTCCTACCGAGCTCTTGGCGTCCTTCGGGCTCATTGCAGGCGGTATCGTCTTCATGGCGAGTGTAAGTCGGCTGCACCTACCATCCTTGCTCCCGCTCCCCGTAAAGAGTGGCATCTAACGGTGACGGCAGAGTTCGGACACGGTCGACGGCATGATTCACTATGACCTGGACGTAATGTTCATGTACACGGTGACGATGGGACTCGTGGGCATGCTCATGGCGTGGGAAGTAGTGGTACTCGCCATCAAAGGCTGGGCTACCCGTAAGGAGAGGCAAACTGCCCCTCGCTGTGCTTATGCTTAATGGATGCACATTGGCCCCCTTTCAACTCCGGGCCGCCTTTCCCGCCGCCGTGTTCATCCTCCGAGCACGGAATGTTTCGAGGTTACTGGAGATACTGAGGCAAGTTTTGTCAGCTTGGCCGCGATGTTCTTTTCGTATTCCTTTCGGTTCTCATCCTTCACTGTTCTTCCTTTGAGATACCCTTGACGATTGAATGAGAAGGACGCGACAACGGGCAGCTCTTGTCTTTTCTAGGGCAAAGGGAGGCGCCCTGGGAGGCCAAAGCAGGTAGCGGCGGTAGAGCGAGACTTTTGAATAATGATAGTTTGGCGTTCGCAAGGCCGCAGCGGCTTTCTGGAAAAGCGTCGGAGACACCATCAGAGTGACAGTTGGGCTGTGAACTTGCGTGAACACCCAGCGCGGCCGCCACCACGCGGCATTCTGCGCGCACCAACGCTGACCGACCGCCAGGACTAGGGCTGGCAGCGGCGCTTGGCTCACATATGCAGATGCCCGAGGCCCAAGATAGCAATGCCGGCCAACAGCCGCCGCTGTCTGTGGCCCAGTCTCAGCCAACAAACGGGCGGCAACCACAGCAGCAAACGAACCTTTCCCCCCCGCGAGCCATGCTCCGACGGTACCTACCGTCGAGGAGCCGCCTATCGAGGTCGCCAACGAACTCGGTTGACGGGCTTAGGGGCATGCGAGCAGGGAAAATGTTCACCTTCGCTGCCACGTGCCACAGTAAAGCTCGACGTTAGATCGGGTTCATTGTGTTCCAACTGCTTCTACCTTCCTGAGCGTATCTTCATCGCGCGCCAGCCACCGGCAGCAACGAACTATCTTCTTCTCAACAAAATCCTTCGCTACTTAAGGGATTTCCCGGTGATCTGCCGGATCCGGCGATCCGCCGGACTTACACGCGGTTGCATTCCTGGCATCAATCAAGAATTACCACACAACCACAAGATCAAATAGTCTCAAATTTGACGTCTAGCAAAATTTCGCCAGGTACACATGTATCAATCAATTTCGTAGTCATCAAGCCATCGTGGCCGCTTGCTATTTCGCTGTGGTCTCCCGGAGCTCCGAAATGCGACCACCATCTCCCGATCACTCTCACAAGCCAAAGACGGTCTTTTCGCACGTATTGTGCGCACCGGAGTCGTTGTTGCCCTCGGACTTGCGCTGCTGTTTGGTGGTTCCTGTACCTGCGATGCTGCCGGCGGTTCCTGTGAGCGCGGAGCGACCACGATTATTTCGTCTCGAACGCCGGGGCTTTTCGCGCGACCCTCAGAAGCGGCCTGTTGTTCATGCTGCATTTCGCATGCTATTTCCTGGCTGTGGCGCTCCAGCTCTTGCCGGACTTGCCGCCTGGCCTCCCTCTCTTGCTTCCTGGCTTCCTTTTTCTGTCGTTTTGTCTCCATATCGGCCACTTTTTGCCTCCTCTTCTCCAAGGCGAGAGCCTTTTGCTCAGCCGCCTTCTGCTGTCGCTGAATCTTTTGCGCCTCCTTCTTCAAAGCCTCCTCTTTCTTCCGGGCCTCCATTTCAGCCTTCTTTACACGGGCTTGAGCCACTTTCGCGGGGCTAAATATCTGAGCTGACTTAGGATCTATGCGGTCGAAGAGGTAGTCCTTCGGAGCTTTAAGTCCCTGCACATAGATCCCGGCCACCCCCTGTTATCGGCCACCCAAAAAAGCGGGAGCGGTTTTCATGAAGACCAATTCAATCGCCCTTCACTGCCTACCAACGCCCACTACGATACAATCGTCACCGATTTCTGAAAGTTCATCTTCGGTTCCATCAGGGTCTTCATTCTCAGCTGCATTGACCTCCGCCTGCGCCCGCCGCACTGCCTCAATGTCGGCGAACCTCGAATTCGGGCTCGTTTCCACCCTCTTCCTCTTCTTCGGCTTCACAGACGCCAGTTGTGTTTCCAGCGCTTGAATCTGTAATTGGGCTTTTGCCAAGAGGCCATCCTTTTCGTCAAACCCCTTTGTAATCTTCCTGAACAGCAGGCGCTTCGTGGGCACGTCGTCGTCGAGCTGGTTGAATTGAAGCACTTGCACCTTCAGATCTTGAGGACGCCTCGGAGTCGACCACGCGATCTGCGATGCGTCTGATTGCCATCCCGACGTAGAAAAAGGGCTTCTGAAGGCATCGGGCGCGTTTTTCGCATCCTTGTTGCGCTTGTTGCTGTTCTCCAGCAGGAGAGGGCTCAAAAGTGGCTTTGCCACAGATACCGGCTACAAACACGTCGCTTTCCAGCCACCCTTGATGTTGGACGCCGTGAGCGCCTGCTCGCGTGCTCGCTGATAGCAGGAAAGAAAGTTTTGCTTGCCGACCGGGCTCGAATCGGTCAACAGGCTGAGAAATCCGACCTGTTTGCGGTAGTAGTGCTTCAGAGGGGAGAAGACGGACAAATCCAATAGTTGCAACACATGAGAGGTATGAGGGGGCAGAAAAAGAAGATGGATCTTATGCTGGTAGCATAGATACATGAACTCGACTGTCTCATGACTCCCGTGGCCGTCCAATACTAGCAGTCTGCGCTCCGAAGGGTCCGCTGGCTGAGTCCTTGGAATGAACATCTTTTCGAGCCATTCCACCGCAGTCTGGTCCGAAGTCCAGCCGTTCTTTGTCGCAGTGAAGTGCCAGTCGCTGAAAAGACTTAAATCATCGGGAAACCACTGCTGCTGGACCGATTTCCCCTTGAAAATGACGAGAGGAGGTAGGAAGGTGCCCGTGGCGGAGACGCACTCGATGAACGAGGTCCAGACGCGAGAACCAGGTGCTTTCTTTTGAACAGATCGTTTTTCAGCATTGCCTACCACCAGTCCATTCTCCCCGAGTCCTTCCATGATGCCTGCTTCGTCCATGTTGTACCTGTGCTCGGGCTTAATGGCCTGAATCTCAGGAAGGAAGAAATTGTTGAACCAAGGCCGAATTACCTCGGTAGACGCGCCATTGACACGCGCCGAATCTCTATGATGACACTTCTGTGTCCGAACTGCGGGATTCCGCCTCAGAAAAGCTTGCATCCAATGTTTTCCGAGCGGGACGTGGTCTCCTTTGACGGCCAGCATGCGCTGCGCGAACTGCTTGATCTGCGAGTGAGTGGGTGGAAGCCCCAGGGCGTCCTGGATGAGAATCCATTCTGTAAGCTGGTTTTCCTGCGTCTGAGAAAGCCTCTGAAGAGGAGAAAATGCATCCTTTCTGCATTCGTGGCCGTGCATGCGGTCATACAAGGTTGCCCTCGGGACACCCCAATGTTTCGAGGCCTGTCTGGCGGACGTGCCATTTGCGACCGCCTGCAATGCCAGATCAATGTCAGCTTCCGTATACTTGGCCATTTTTCATTAACTGACATCGATACCAAGTTCGAAATCAATTGAGAACAAATGCGTAGAGCCAGGTAGGTTTGAAGTCGGAGTAGCGGTGTGGGAGACGCCACTTTGGACGTGGCCGAAATGCGGGGGTGGCCGGGATCTATGTGCAGGGACTTACCGCGCTGTCTGCGCTGCTTCTCATGGATAGTTGTCTCACGGAGTCCCTGGTTCTCATATCGAAGCAGCTCAACCTCAGATTGGAGGCTCTCCAAAGTGCTCTTCAGCTTTCGGCTGCTGCGACCAGCATCGCTAGACGAATGGTCGACTGCTTTGTCAACAAGCCGGCGCAAATCTCGAGCAGTCGGTCGCTGAAGGGCTAGAGATTCTGCCGAGTCGCCTCCCGTGTCTGAATCGTCTCATCTGCGACAGTACGACTTCTGGGTCAAAGGGCAGGAGGCCAGTCCGTTCCCACCCACTGGCAATGTTTTGCACGGAGAAGGAAGCCGTAAAAGCATTCCAAAATAAGGTCCAGAACTCGCGCTTCGACAGACTGATGAGACCCTGTGTCTTTGTCGTCCATTGGATAAGCTGTTTGGTGTAAGCGGTGGAGAGCGGGCTGAACAACGACATGTCTAACGGCTGCAACCTGTGAGTGGAATGGGGCGGAAACACTGCAACGATGATCCGGTGCTGGTCACACCACTCCAAAAGTCCATATTCACATGACTCGAGTGGCCATCAGTAATGAGAAGGCGATAGTCACGGCCGTTTCGAGCCTTTGCCTTGGTAAACCGGTCGAAAACGCTGGTGAGCCACTCCTTTCCAAGCTCGTGATTTGTCCACCCCGTTTCTGACGTTGTAAAGAAGGCAGATTGATGCTCCGGTTCAAATTCTGTGAGCCAAGAATCCTGAACTTGTCCTGGCTTGCCTTGGTAGATGAGGAATGGGGGCAGTG